ACACTGTTTATTTACGCCGGCGGACTCGGTATAACTTTCCAAATCTGAGTAAAGTAACATGCAGGGGGCTTCTCTTTTATATCTTTCTGAGGACTTTGTCCTGCAAATATGGATTATGTTTCCAGTCCTTTTCTTGGGGTTTGCAAGAAGGCCCCCAGGTGTTGGGGGTCTCCAGGCCATATCTGATGGCCTGGCCTGGCACCAGTTTTAATAACCCCCCTCCGGGGCAGTGCACTGTTCACAGTTTTATGGCCTCTGTAACAGGTTCTGCAAGACCAATTTCTGGGAAAGAGGTAGTGACTTAATTATAGGTTATCAATAATGTACACTGAGCTTGCTGGCATGGATTCAGATTGCTAGCCTCCCACCCGCCCCCCCAAAATCAGGGTTACATTGGAATTAGCCTTTTAACCTCCTCACCTGTGGTTTAGTAAATGGATTATTTTCATGTGTAGTCTAGCTGCGGTTTTAATTGCTGTTTTATCACTGTGCCTCATAGCAGGCAAGTCTGCCCTCACCAACCCCTCAGTGATGTCACTCTCCACCACAGGTCTCCCCATTGGAGTGAGGTTCCCGTGATTATCCCATCTCAGTCTCTCCTACCCTTCTCTATGTGGTCTTTCTCTCATTTGTTGTTCAGGAGGAATTGCTCTATATGTAGGTGCATATTCCCCGTGTCCTACCCTACCATCTTGGACACAACTCCAAGATACAATTTAAATTCAAGTATCCCTGGTGCCAACCCTGCCATCATCTGGATCACCTGTGCTTCCTCTCTCAGCAGAGCACTCACTCCATCCCGTAGTCATTGCCAGCTTCGTCTCATTTTCCACTAGACCTTGGGCTCCTTAAGAGTAGGGACCCGCCGAAACTGGTTTGGCTCAGTGGATAGAACATCGGCCTGCGGACTGAAAAGTCCCAGGTTCGATTCTGGTCAAGGGCATGTACCTGGGTTGCGGGCACATCCCCAGTAGGAGATGTGCAGGAGGAGGCTGATCGATGTTTCTAACTCTCTATCTCTCTCCCTTCCTCTCTGTAAAAAATCAATAAAATATATTTTTTTTAAAAAAAGTAGGAAAAGTAGGGACCATCTTCTTTGCCATGATGCAACTCCTAGTATCTGGCAAAGTGTCTGGCACAAGTAGGCACCCAAATATTTGCTGAATGAGTAATCTCTACTGCTTCTACTCAAATTGACTGAGGCTATTCAGCCATACTGAATGATCAAATACTCCCTCTCCTAACCTGTTATGCTAGTCTATAATGCGGTGTAAAATGCCTCAATATTAAAATAAGAAAAGTACGCCCCAGCGGGTTTGGCTCAGTGGACAGAGTGTCAGTCTGCAGACCTAAGGGTCCCTGGTTTGATTCCGTTCAAGGGCACATACCTCGGTTGCAGGCTCCTCACAACCAATCGATGTGTTTCTTTCCATCAATATTTCTCTGTCTTTGCCTCTCTCTTCCACTCTCTCAAAAAATCAATGGAAAAATATTCTCGGGTGAGGATTTAAAAAATGAATAAAAATAAATAAATAAGCAAATACTTAAAAAAAATAAAATAAGTACTTTGATTTTGCTATTGCATATCCAATTTCCTTAATTTGTAAAATGAGGTTTTAAAGACACCTGTTGGCTTCAAATGTATTGATCACCCACTTCCCCCAAACCCAACCACTGCCTCCTACCCACCAACCCCAGTAAATGTTGAAATGAAATCCAGGATAGGGAAGGCAGAACTTCTCTCTTTGAGGGGAAAGGGCCAGAGGTGGGCTAAACCTCATGTGTGCAGCTTTCCATGAATCCTCCACAGCCGCCGCCCCCACCCGCACACTAGAGCAGGGGTTGGCAAACTTTTTGACTCGAGGGCCACAATGGGTTCTTAAACTGGACCGGAGGGCCGGAACAAAAGCATGGATGGAGTGTTTGTGTGAACTAATATAAATTCAAAGTAAACATCATTACATAAAAGGGGACGGTCTTTTTTTTTTTAGTTTTATTCATTTCAAACGGGCCGAATCCGGCCCGCGGGCCATAGTTTGCCCACGGCTGCACTAGAGGGACTTACCAGGAAGCACAGATGTAAACTATAGACTATATATTTCTCTTCAGCTCCACAGGTACACACAATAATAATTATACCTGCATCCATGCCAACTTTTTCTTTCTTCCCCCCCATCTTTATCCTTATATAACTAGTGTCCCGGTGCACAAAATTTGTGCAAGGGGGGTTCCCCTCAGCCCAGTCTGCACCCTCTCCAATAGGGAACCTTAAACCAGCAGTCAGACATCCCTTTCAAAGTCTGGGACCTCTGGCTCCTAACTACTCACCTGCTTGGTTGTCTGATTGGCCCTAACTGCCTCACCCTGCCTACCATATTGCCCCTAACCTCTCTGCCTGCCTGATTGCCCCTAACTGCCCTCCCATGCTGGCCTGATCTCACACACAACTGCCCTCCCCTGCTGGCCTGATCTTACCCCTAACTGTTCTCCCCTGATGGTCTACTCACCCCTAACTGCATCTGCCTGCCTGATCGCCCCCAACTGCTCTCCCCTGCAGGCTTGATCTCACCCCCAACTGCCCTCTCCTGCTGGCCTGATCTCACCCCCAACTGCCCTCCCATGCTGGCCTGATTGCCCCTAACCACCTGCCAGCCTAATATTCCCCCCAACTGCCCTCCCCTGCCAGCCTGATCACCCCTAACTGCCTCTACCTCAGCCCCCAACACCATGGCTTTGTCTGGAAGGAAGTAGGACATCTGGAAGATGGCCGGTGGAACTGGTATAATTAGCATATTACTCTTTTATTGGTATAGATAGATTATATAGGATAGGATTGCTTAAATGGGGTGGGGAGCCTTTTTCAGCAGGAGGAGATGCTCTTGGCAGACGAAAACACATAATCCCTATGTCTAGACTGATAGCCAGCCATATGCACTATATTGCCAAGCCAGTCATTAAAAAATTGAACCGCTTTCTTACACTTTACACCAAACAGCTGTTGCCCTTAAAACCCCTCCTCAGCCCCCACCTTATGTTCTGCCTTCTCAGTTCACCCAGATTTGGTTCTGATTGGTTGGTTTCTATGCCAGTCAGCACCTCCAGGCTTATGATCAGAGAGAAGGGGCTGATCAACTGCTGCCACGGAGGCTGCTTCTCTCTCCGGGCCTCTCTCCAGCCCTGATCTGCAGCCCCCTCAGCAGTCAGTGCTGAGTCCCCACCACCTCAATGGCAGCATTCAGTGCTTGGTCACTGCGGCAACCCAGAACTGACTGCAAGACTGACTCCCGGTGTTTGATTGTCTGTTCGGTTGTTTTGGACATTACGGACCCTGGCTCTATATATATATAGATAAAAGGCTAAAATGCAAATTGTCCCCTCAGGAGTTTGACCGATTGGGAGTGGGACCGCTCGCTATGACGTGTGCTGACCATGAGGGGGCAGTGCGGAACGAAGGAAGGCCCCAGCCGGCAGCCAGCAGCTGGGGGAAGGAAGGCCCTGGCCGGCAACTAGAAGGCCCTGATCGGCCCAGATCGCAGGCTAGGCCTAGAGACCCTACTCGTGCATGAATTTCATGCACTGGGCCTCTAGTTAGGATGTAATTGACATTTAATATAATGTAAATTTAAGATGTATCATGTGATGATTTGATGCATGTATTTACTCTGAAATGTTTACCAAGGATAATTAACACATCTGACACCTCACACAATTACCATTTTGTTGTTGCTGTCATGTTGAGAACACTGAAGCTGTACTCTCATTGCAACTTTCCAGTATACCAAGGAGTATCTTTAACTAAGTCACCATGCTGTAGATTAGGTACCTTTTGACCAACATCTCCCCATTTCTCCCAGCCTCAAGCCCCTCACAGTCCATTTTCTTTTAAATACTTAAACGGTATTAGGTTAAATCCACAGAAAGAAAAAACTACAGAGGAAGCAAATTCTGTTTCCAGAGAGCCAAATTGTCTTGCTTGCCATGATATTTTGCTCAGTTTTTCCATGTTTTGCCTCAGAGAGTACCTAAGCATTAAGTGTGGGTAGGTGGACTGACCCTCCAGACTTATTGCTCAAATGCAGGGTGGGAAGGGGTGGAGAAAAAGATAGTGATGGGGCCATTTCTAATCCTTTAGACCAGTGATGGCGAACCTATGACACGCGTGTCAGAGGTGACAGGCGAACTCATTTTTTTGGTTGATTTTAATTTGATAAATGGCATTTAAATATATAAAATAAATATCAAAAATATAAATCTTTGTTTTACTATGGTTGCAAAGATCAAAAAATTTCTATATATGACACGGCACCAGAGTTAAGTTAGGGTTTTTCAAAATGCTGACATGCCGAGCTCAAAAGGTTCGCCGACACTGCTTTAGACTATCCCGAGAAGTTCAATCCATAAGCTCAGAATTCGTCTTAAGTTTGTGACTTGTAAAAAGAGTGACAGGTATGATGTTTGCTAAAATTGGTTCTGATAAAAGGACTGAAAAGACTGTCTCAGTGTCGGTATGTGCTGGCAGGCTTTTAAAAAATCAGACAACGGTGATAAGAGATGAGATGAATATGAAATGATTTATTGAGGAAATGACCATTCAGGTTAGTAATATGACACAATGTCAGATAATCTTCAATATCAGATCATCTTTGTTTTTGCATTAGAAAGAATATTTTTAAGTGCTCCATGTAATTCACCTGGGGATGTAGAATCATAGTTGTGATCCTGGTCAGATATTTTAAAAGAATGGATACAGAGGGGTGAGTGTGTGTGTGGGGGGGTGGTGGTGGGGTGTGCGTGTGGTACAGAAACTGCCAAGGCAAATGATAAGAGAAATATACAGATCTTGTCGTTTATCTTGAGACCTTGGGGAAGGGCTGTGTCTTTTTGTCAGGGCATAAATCTAACAGTCAATATGGATGTTTGACTGTGTCAAGCCAAAGGGCACCTCAAGAGGACATCACCTGCAGCCCAGGCCAGGGAGTCCCTGGGAGGGGGCAGAAGTGTCACTGGGCCTGTGCAGCAGAGGTGGCATCTGCAACTGCGGCGTCCTCCTCTGAGGTGCTGCTCTGATTGGCAATGCAAGCGGGTTTTCCAGCAGGGCCCTTCCTGGTGGTGTCGTCCTCTCCTCCTTCAGGGCTGTGGTCCTGGGCACCAGGCGGCTGCTGCTGGCGGTGGAGGGGGTTGCTGGGGCCGCAGGCTGCAGAGCCAGCATCGCTCCCGCTCTCCTTGTTTTCTGCCTCCAGCTGCTCAGAGGACTTTGGACGAGGGGCCATGCCTCGGCCCCTAGGGCGACTCAAGCGGTAGCTGGGGCCAGGCCCACGGCGGGGTGGTGAGCCCTCGGGCCTGGCGGCTGGTGCAGACCCAGGCAGCTGGGCGGCCCGCGGCGGGCGGCTGGCGGGAGCGGAGGTGGAAGGGCGGCGGGTCACAGCCCTGGCCCTGCGGAAGGGCGGAAAGCGCCTCAGCCTTTGGTCTTGGGGGCGGCGGTGCAGGCAGCGCCTCTGGCCCTGGGCGAAGGCGAAGTCTTCTCTGCTGCCCTGGTAGTCGTAGTCATAGTAGCCATAGTAGTCATAGTAGTGGTAGCAGCCGTAGTAGTCGTAGTAGTAGTAGTCGTAGTTGCAGTGGTAGTCATAGTCATAGCCATAGACGTCCCCCTCAGGGCCCCTGGCGCTGCGATGCTGAAGCGGCTGCCCTCCACTGGGGCGCCGCCTGGCCCGGTCACGTTCGCAGCCTCGATGCCCTGCTTGCCCTGCACCACCTGGAACTCCACGGTCTCGCCTTCCCCCACGCTGCGTTGGTACTTGTGGGGGTTGTTCCGGGTGATGGCCGTCTGGTGAATGAACACATCTTCCTGGGTGTCGTGCCTGGTGATGAAACCGTACCCGTTCTTTACATTGAACCACTTGACGGATCCACTCACCCTCTCGGCGATCACTTGCTTGGGCGCCTTTTCCTTGGTGCCAGCTGCCACGGTGGCCTCGGGGACGGAGTTTTCGCAGAGGTGGCTGGTGACTAGGGCCTGGACAGAGTCTCCGCCTCCCAAGGACGACAGATCTCTCTTCCTGGCTTGGAGGGAGCCGGCTTGGGGGTAGCCGGCTTGCGGGGAGTCGGAGGCGGCCACCTCCGTGAGGGTGGCCTCTCCTGCCTCACTCATGAGGCCTTCCTTTCTGGCTCCTAGAGTCCCAGGGAAATCTGCTCCTAAGTAGCAGAGCAGGGGCTGGGGGGCGGGGTGGGGGTGGTTTTTTTTTGGGGCGGGAATGGAGGTGGGAGCCTTGCTCTGGGAGGGTCTGGGTCAGGGCTGAGGACTCTCCTGCTGCTCAGAGGTGAGGCTCTTGGGAGAGGTCTGTGGCGTCTCCGTCTCCTAGGAAACAGGACCCGGATGAACCTGGCTGCAGGGGTGACGTCTCAATGGGGCTCCAGGCCCGCCTCTAGCCAGGGGGCGGGGCATATGAGCTCTGCCATGTGCTCCTGGCGCCAAGTTCACAGCGCCTCTTGGTTGGTCCCTAGTAGAGAAGGAGCACACAGAGCTCTAGAGAGTGGTCTTCTAGAAGACCCTCTTGCTTGCTTGAGTGGTCGTGGAGAGAGGACCCACCTTACATCCTTCTCCCTTGGCTGGGGAGCTCCACAGCCTTCTAAGGGCACTCCCTACGTACTCTCTGGCAAAACCCCGGTCCTCTTCCAAACCCTTCTGTGCCCTCTATGTGAGTGTGGCATTTTGTGTAATTCCAGACAACCGCATTTTGTGTAAATGGCAACACATGAAATGAGCGCCCAATCAAAGAAGCCCACTGTTTCATTTTGTTGCTGCTGCTGTTGTTTGTTTTCCTGCAGAAGGGCAGAGGAAACCTGCCAGGGATAGAACTCTAGTACTGACAAGACATTAAACTGGTGCTAGATTTCTAAAGCAGGGACTCTGAGGAGGAACACCTTTGTAGCTAGAATATTCTGGAAACCCTGATGGAACTCTGTGTTCTTGCCTACACAAAGCAAAGGATCACACAGAGTAAAACAGAGTTCAGGCAATTCTTCCTTGTGTTTAAATGCAGATACAACTTTTATTTTTTTTTAAATATATTTTATTGATTTTTTACAGAGAGGAAGGGAGAGGGATAGAGAGTTAGAAACATCGATGAGAGAGAAACATCGATCAGCTGCCTCCTGCACACCTCCCACTGGGGATGTGTCCCCAACCAAGGTACATGCCCTTGACCGGAATCAAACCTGGGACCTTTCAGTCTGAAGGCCGACACTCTATGCACTGAGCCAAACCAGTTAGGGCAGATACAAACTTTTTTATTTTCCAAATAGCTGGCTGATCTTCATCCTGAATTGGGCTTCTGATTTAATTATGTAGAAACCCTCATACTTCAGCCAAACTTCAGTATCTTATATATGGGAACTTCGTGATGCTGACTGTGATGGAGCCCTGACCCTGCCTGAGTGCTCTGCTGCAGTTCATCTCACTGTGGCAGGGAAGACCCAGGGAAGGATGGCTATCCACTGCCCGAGGGCCTCCTTCCAACTCTGCAGCCAGAGTACCTGCAAGCAGGCTTCCCAAAGCCTACGTGGGAGTGACATTATTCCAAACCCATGTCAGCAGAGGATACTGTGCTAAGGTACAGTAGCTTTCTGAAATATAGCCTTTCCCAGGTGAGGACAGAGCACGCTGAAATAGTAGATTGTAACTGATCATAAAACTCAGTTTTCATTTATTGACAAGAAAAAGAAGCCCTGTTGTCCTGCCATTTGAGAGTTTAGAGAAACCTCTCACATGTTGTGCATTTGATCGTTATCACAACCCACTCTATAAGGAAGTGGGACAGGTAATGTTTTTGCTTCCATTTGACAGATGAGGGACGGGGGCCCAGAGACAGGAAGTTGCTTGCTTACGTTCAAATATTTAGTATTGGGTGGACCCTTAAACTTATCTCAGATAAGTTTCACTCCAGGTTCAGGTCTCTTTCCACCACTTCTCACTGGTCTTCATGTACAGTTCTGTCACCTGTTTCATCAGATGTCAGAGACCAGTGACCTCTTTCAGAGAGGTAATGGTCTCATACAACCCAGCAGGGAACCAAAGAAATGCCTCTTGCATGGCCGACCTATCTCCTCTGTGTCCAGACTCCCGGGCCCGTCACTCTCCAGGAGCAAAAATTGCCTTCATATCAATTAATCAATACCCCCTCCCTCTCCTCCTTGCACACACACACAATACTCTGCCTACAGCCCAGCAGAGAGCAAACCCTACTTACTATACACCCAGAAACCATTTCTTCACCATGCTGAGGTAATAGAAAATGGAAGAAAGGGTCTTGATTTTTATTTCACTCTTTAAAACAAACAAACAAACAAAAACAACACTTCTTTAGGCATCATCTCTTATTGTTTTCACAGCAAGAGTTAGAGCAGCAGGCTAATGGCAGTATCCTCACATGACAGAGTAAGCCAGGGCAGCAGGGCAGGGAGCAGCTAAGTGACCTAACCAAGGACACCCACGTAATAAGTGCAGAGCTAGGATGATACCTCTGGACCTGAAGGCCCTCTGATTCCTAGTCCACTGTTCCCTTCGTGGCCCCATGAGGCCACTTCTATGATGCCGTTAATAGTTCTTTCATATACATACTTGTATATATTTATATAATGTTTTTTATTGATGAGAGACAGAGACAGTGAGAAAAGGAAGATAGAGAGGGGAAGATAGAGGGAGAGAGAGAGAGAGACAAGACATGGAGACATCACTGTGAGAAAGAAACTTCCACCAGCTGCCTTCTGCATGGCACCTACTTGGGATCTCGAGCCCGAAACCCAAGCATGTGCCCTGACCTGGAACCAAACTGGGGAGCTTTGGTGCATGAGAGGACACCCAACCAACTGAGCTACACTGGCCAGGGCAACAGTTATTTTTACATGTCCTGATAACTCTCCTTGCTGCTTTCCACATTTGCCGTGCCCATTCCCATCTCTGTGCCTGTGTTCCCTTTTCCCTCATTCTCTTAGGAATACTTTTTCTTCTCTCCTTCATCTGTGTAATTCTTACTCGCCCTTCTAGTCCCAGTTTTGCAATCCCCTGCCACCCCCATTCCAAATGCACCAGTCCACCTCCTTGTCTTTCTTCTGTGAAACATAGTTGCACTTATGGCCTATGATTAATGGCTACTCTGCTTTCCTATATGTAACGTTTTCTGTGTCATTATTATTCCCAACTGAATTCTAAGGGCACTAATGATTGATTTTTTTCCCTCTCAGTTTCCTTTCCAGGTAACATGGTGCCTGGGTCAGGGCTGGCCGTATAAATGGCCACTGCATATGTGCCCTTGTGCATTAAACCTATGCCTCTTTTTCATCCTTGAATTCCTTACAGTTGCTAGCACATTGCCAGGCACAACATAAATTCACTGAGTTGGACTGACTATGTCCTCTTGAGTATCCTGTTGTTGTTTAAATGATAGACAGGCAAGTGCTTTGGAGCCATCATGGAGATCAGTTGAACCTTCTTGGTTTGGGTGTATTTTATGCAAGAAGAAAGGCATTGTGAAAAAATTAATATGATATGAATTGCTTGTTTGAGCTTACAGTTTAATTTACTGAGCCTGTTGTATTATTTTTATTGAAATCATCAGGTTCTGTTTATCTCTTTTTCTTTATTTTGCACTTCATCCATCCTGTGAAGGATATTGTTTTAGCTCTATTATTTAAGAGCTGGAGGTTAATTCAGGTCTAAGGTATACTGTCTGATCCGTGGGCTTATCATTTAAAACTAAAATATCTGCTGCTTCAGCCACAAAATGGGGCTGAAACCAAGACAGCATAGTCTGCTAGGCTCATGATGAAAGGTAATAAATCACAGTGTCTAAGCTAAAGAGTAAACAAATTGGCAGTCTTATGAGAGGATGAAAATGCTTCAGGGCCTCTTTTCTTACCAGTTCACTGGTGGTTCCAGGTTGAAAGGTCAAATGGGGTAAAGGGAAAGAAGAAACTTATCCATCTTGCTCCTGTAACCACACCATCCATTCCAGGCTCTCTTGAGTGCTGCTCACAGTCCAAGGCAACACAAAGCTAACATAATACAGACAGAAATAATAAAAGGGGATCTGGAACATGCAACTGAGAATGCCTACCCTTGCCCCATACCCTGCAAATGACACAGGGTGACTCCAGGGATACTATGAATGTCAATAAGTGGTTTAAAATATGGCAAGTGTTGCAATTTTCAGTGCACTCACAGCTGAGGTTTGGGGAGCTAAACATCATTTGAAAGAGCTAGAATCTTAATTCAGAGGGCCTGGGTTTCACTCCTGGAATGGGCTAATGTTGTCTGTTTAGCCTTGAGCAAGTCATGTCGCCTTCCTGAGATGTGGTCTTGCATGTAACAATAAAATATAAATGCTTTCCTTATCTAGTTCATAGAGTTGTGGTGGCAATTACATAGAATACTTTATGTGAAGGAAAAATTATGTAAACCATAAGCCGAGAACATCTTTCCATACAATACTCTGTGTTAAAAAGAAAAAGAGATAAAAAGGGAATGAAATAGAAAAGACTGAAAGAAAGTGTGATGATTAATTTTATGTGCCATTTTGGCTGGGCCATGGTGCCTAGGTATGTGAGTAAACATTATGGGTGATTCTGTGTGGGTGCTTTTGGATGAGAATCAGTTTTAAATCCATGGACTTGAGGTAAATTGCCATGTATAATGAGGGTGGGCCTTATCCAATCCAGTGAAAGCCAGAACAGAACAAAAAAAATATCTCCCCTGAGCAAGAAGGAATTCTGCTGCAGATGACCTATGGGCTTGATCTGCAACACTGGCTCTTCTCTGTGTCTCCATCTTGACGACCTTTGGATTTAAACTGCAGCCTTGGCTCTCCCTTCAGTAGCTAGTCTGTGAGCACATCCTATAGATTTTGAACTTGCCAGTCTCCATAATCATACGAGCCAATTCCTTGAAATAAGTCAGTCTCTCTCTCTCTCTCTCTCTCTCTCTCTCTCTCTCCCTTTACACACACACACACACACACACACACACACACTCGTACGTGTAATTGGTTCTGCTTCTCCGAGAACTGACTCATGCAAACTTTGGCACTAGGGCTGTTTCTAAAGAACAGAATCTTAAGAATGAATTTTCTGAATTGGTTCTAGATTTAGCTCTCA